GGTCACGTGACCGCGGGCGTCCCGGGCGAGGCTGGAGGCCGGCGGAGAGCCGAGGGGTCCGGGAAGGGAGCCCAGCCCTCAGCCCCGGGCATAACGTCCGGGCCTGGCACCCTGGGCAACGGGCCTTGGGGTGTAAAGACATTCCTACCGACCAAGTCTCCCCTCCCCACCCAGGGCCCCCCGTTTTGTATTTGCGGGAGAAGGTACAGCGTTTTCCTTTATGGCCACTTTAATTGAGCATCTAGGATGTGCGGGCGAGTCAGGCCCTTTGAACGGTTACAGCGCAACGGGGAGAAAAGCTCGCGCAGAGGTTCGAAGTGCCGGGAGCGCGGGGAGGAGAGAGGGAAGTTGGCCTCGGCCGGCGGGTGACGCGCGCGCCCAGGGCGCCCAGGCGTCGAGGATGCCCGCGAATGCGGGAGGAGGGAGGCGCCGGCCGCGCGAGCGAGCGGCCGCGAGTGCGGCGCCCCGGCGGAACCTGAGAACGCCGGAGGGAAGGTGGGAGCTAAGCCTGCTCAGGCACTTGAGGTTTTGTTGGGTGTCATGCGGAGAAGTTTAGCAACAGTTAGCCGCGAAAGGTTTTTTTGTTTCAGCAGGTGGGAAACTATCTGTAGGTTTCCGTTTTATTACTAGCTGACATTTGAAGGTCTTCCATTGCCAAACGCTGTCCTAATTGCCTTATGTGTATTAACTCATGATTCTCCCAACAATCCAGTAAAGTGGGTACTGTTATCTCCCTTTCGTGGATGGGGAAATGAGGCACAAAGAAGTAAAGTAATTCTCCCACCGACTCAGCAGAAGCAGATTGGGACCAGGATTCAAACGCAGGGCTTCTGATTCCATAGCCCCTTTTTCTAACAGCTATACAGTAACTGAATTTGCTCACAGTCATATGTAACCCTATTAAGCCTGAGCTGCCTTATCATCTGGTCCTATAAAGAATCACACTCGAAGAGATACAATTCCAGAAGAAAAAAAATTTTTTGAAAGCAGTTTAAATCCCTACCTCACACTCTCAACAAGGTACCAAAGGGGGAATACACACAACATACAGCAAATTTCCTAAAATTCCTTTTTCTTCATCTCTTACCATTAGCAATTTCTCTCCTACACCTGTATCATCCCCTCTCCTCCAACTCCCTCAGTCCTGAGCCTGCCTCTCCACCTCCTCATCCATCTAAACTTTCCTTTGAGAAGTGATTATCTTTTTTTTTTTTTAAAGATTTTATTTATTTATTTGACAGAGAGAGAGAAGAGCACAAGCAGAGGGAATGGCAGAGGGAGAAGGAGAAGCAGGCTCTGCACTGAGCAGGGAGCCCGAAGCGGAACTCGATCCCAGGACCCCGGGATCATGACCTGAGCCGAAGGCATACGCTTAACCATCTGAGCCACCCAGGCGCCCCGAAGTGATTATCTTTTTAAAAGGAATTCTCCCTGTTCTTTCAGCTCCTGCTTCTCACGTTTTTCCTTTCACCGATTACCCCAATTTTACAATATGGTCAAAAAGAATTTGGGAAAGGAGGGGGAAGATGGCTGGAAACAAAGAAAGGAGTCTATGAATATTTATGTATTAATATTTTCTTTGTCACATACATAAATGTTTCTGTTACAAAGTATGTATCTGAGGGCGCCTGGGTGGCTCAGTTGGTTAAGCGACTGCCTTCGGCTCAGGTCATGATCCTGGAGTCCCTGGATCGAGTCCTGCATCGGGCTCTCTGCTCGGCAGGGAGTCTGCTTCTCCCTCTGACCCTCCCCCTCTCATGCTCTCTCTCTCTCTCTCTCATTCTCTCTCTCAAATAAATAAATAAAATCTTTAAAAACAAAAAAACAAAGTATGTATCTGAAACAATACTGGGAAAGTATTGGGACAAAGCAATGAGCTTTTCATAGAACTTAAAATATTTAATTTAATAAGAACTGTACTTTTTTCTGAGAGGTTAGGGTTAAGATGTCCTAACTTTTATGAGTGATGCTGTAAGTAGATGGTAGGTGTGTGTGTGTATTTAATGCCGTTATAGCAAAAGATGAAGGGCAAAATTGAAAGTTATAAACCCAATGTTGATATTCAAATTAAAAAAAAATCAAAACTGGTCTGTGATATGTGAAAGGCTGAAAATCCCTGAACTGGAGGAAAGATGAAGGCAAAACATTACAAGAAAGGTGATTACAAGTCATAACTGATTGCTTAGATAAGGAGGTGCAGGACAATGGAGGAAGTGTGTATTCATTTCCTAGAACTGCTGTAACAAAATACCACAAACCATGTGGCTTGAAACAACAGAAATTTGTTGCCTCACAGTTCTGGAGGCTAGAAACCCAGAAAAACTAGGGGAGAATGCTTCCTTGCCTCTTCCCGGCTTCTAGTGGTGGCCATTGATCCGAGGCATTCCTTGGCTTATAGCTACATCTCCAAACTCTGCCTTCATCATCACACAGTACTGTCCCTGTGTATCTGTCTCTTCTCTGCTTATAAGTTCACAGTTACATCCTAATGACCTCATCTTGATTACACCTGCAAAGACCCTATGTTCACATAAGGTCTTATTCACATATATTGGGCATTAGGATTTCAACATATCTTTTTGGGGAACACAATTCAATCCATGACAAAGTGCTTAATCCAATGGAAATGGTATTTTACCACAGCAGCTTTGGCTCAACTCTGCTTAATGAGGAGTTTAGAGGGGGCGCCTGGGTGGCTCAGTTGGTTAAGCGACTGCCTTCGGCTCAGGTCATGATCCTGGAGTCCCGGGATCGAGTCCCGCATCGGGCTCCC